AACCTAGACTCAGAAGAGAGTTTCCTTTACTCTTCCTCCGGGGCAGATTTTTTCCCATAGCTAAATCTTTTTATTGAAGATGTAGCGCTTCAGCGGCCAGGCTCTATGTGCTTATCTGTAGTCTGACTTTCCGTGTTGTACTGTGTGAAGCTCTGGTTTTGTCCCACACGTGACTGTCAGCACCGACAGCCCTTCAGCATTGTCTGGTAGAATTTTCAGGGATGATGGAAATGTTACAGACTTCTGCTAATACAGCAGCCAGTAGCCACACTTAAAATGTATAAGGTGTGACAAAGGAATGGAATTTTAAATTTTATGTGGTTTTAATTTAAATGTAAATAGCTGCTGGCTAGTAGCTACAGTACTGGACAGTGCAGCTCAGTTATGGGAGATTGGCAGTCGCCTCTAAGGGTCGTTGCTGGCATCGTTGCCTACTTACCACCCTCTCTTTGTGCCCCTGTTCATTTTTTCGGTCTCTGAGGATTTCTCTTAGTTGCTTATGAGATTTGCTGTGCATTTAAAAGGAAAATTATTATATTTTATCAAGTAGTTTTGGCGTCATGTAGTAAGAGGGTTCGCAAGCTCTTTGGACACAAGAATCTCGGAAACAGAATTACCTGACAGCTTTATGTTTAGTTGGAGAGGTACTTACTTCGAGTGGTAAAATTGGAAAGTTCACAGTAAAGTAGTGGAAGTTCTTCAAATGGAAACTGACTATGAAGTTAGAAATTATGAGGAAGAATTAATTAAATACCTTTTTTTGCCATCCTTTTTATTCTACAAAACATTTAATGATGCTAAAAGATAAAAACGGAGCTGTGGCTAAAGTTTTAAAGTCTTGCACATTGTCTTCAGCTTCTTGGTGTGAGTATTTTACCGATACAAGAGCGTTTGAATGAAAAGGTGTATATATTTATTTAGAGAGAAATATTTTGCGGGTGGACAGAAAAAAAACAAATGAACCTGAGAACTTAATCATAGGCAACAGTGGTGGTGGAGGAACTGGAAAGGACTTTAACATTCAGTGCTGAAAGTATTTGTTTTGCTCCTGGCCTTAACAGGGCCTGCGTTAGTTATTTAATTGGAAGGATTTAAAAAAATATATAAGTAATGAGTCCTAGCTATTTCTCAGGTATATGCTTCTTTTTCCTTTAAAGCCAGATATTTTAGAAATGTGTGGTTGGTTTTGGATATTTATTCATAAAAACACTTAAGATTCTTTGTAACAAATTTCTGTGACTTTAGGATTTGCTTGCTATTTTGGAGCCATAGGTACATTGGATTCGCTCTTTTTTTTCATATTATTTGTATTTTTTGCGGTAAAACACACATAAGGTTACTATTTTAACCTTTTTTAAGTGTCCAGTTCAGTGGCATTAAGTACATTTCCATTGATGTACGACCGTCCCCATCCATCTCTCCAGGACCTTTTCCATCCTCCCAAACTGAAACTCTGTCCCCAGTGAACATTAACTTCCTGTCCTACCCAGTCTTCTACTTTCCGTCCCTGAATTTGACTTCTCTACGCACCTCGTATGAGTGGAATCATCGGGTGTTTGTCTTCTAGATGGCTCGCTTATTTCACTTAGTATAATGTTCTCAAGATTAAATTTGATTTTCTCAAATTTAATTTGTGCTGAGAGGAAAAGAACGGAAGTCCCATCGGCTTGTGGTGGAGATTGGCTTCTTGTGTGTTTCTTTCCATAGGAGAAGTTCGTATACAGTGAAATGAATTACTGTTCATTTGATCTGAAAGAATATTATTAGGAACAATAGAAGATGATACCGTATGTTATGGTTTGTAATTCTGTTAAGTTTTAAAATAATTATAATTGGGACTGCTGAGCTTGTTCTCAAATATATTATCTGGTGTTATGAAAGTCAGAAATCCTTTTAGAGACTTCAAGAGGTTTTAACTGTCTAAAAGCATCAGAAATTATTTTAGGCTGTTTAGTGCCAGCAGTAAAGAAGAAGATATGGCGGAGTTTGCTTTACTTTTTAAAAAAAGTATTACTTATTTTAAATGTTTATGTATTTTATGTGCGTGGGGGGGGAGGGTAGAGAGAGAGGGAGAGAGAAAGAGAATCCCAAGCAGGCTTTGCGCTGTGAGCATGTGGAGCCCGATGTGGGACTCGATTTCATGAACCATAAGATTGTGACCTGAGCCGAAATCAAGAGATGGACGCTTAAGTGACTAAGCCACCCAGGCGCCCGAATTTGCTTTACCTTTAACTAGACCTTGAGTTTCCTGTCAGGATGGCTTATCCTTAGCCCTGCTTACTATTCATGCATATCAAGTTTTGTCTCAAAATGTTGCAGGTGTCCCTTGAAAGAATCCGTGTTAGGTTGGTATGAGTGTAAATTCTCATGCCGAGAATAAACAGCATAGCTCAAGTTACTAGAAAATGATTTTAAAGGCCAGATTTTACACAAATACCTCAGTTTACCTATTATATGAAACTGGATTTAAGACAAATTACTTTTTCCCCCTCTTGTGAAAAACAAAGTTAGACTTTCTTCCTTTCTTTTTTTCTATGTCCATTGGGAGGGGATAGCATTCAGAGGAGGAGAAAGAACGTGCACATTATTTATTTTGAGAGAGAGCACAAGTGTGAGCAGGGTAGGGACAAAGAGAGAGCGGGAGAGGGAGAGACAATCCCTAGCAGGCTCTATGCCGTCAGCATAGAGCCGGACGTGGGACTCAACCTCACTAACCTTGAGATCATGACCTGAGCTGAAATCAAGAGTCAGATGCTTAACCGACTGAGCCACCCAGCCGCCCCTGTGCACATTTTATCTTACATGCTTCTGAACTGTGTTGTTGCTGAAAAGAATTTGCGTGCTGCCTACTTTGAAAGCAGATAGGAGGGGCTGCATTTCAGAGCTGCGATTAGGTTAAAGAGTTTTGAAGCAGTGACTTCAGTCACAAGTAATTTCAAATTATGTTTCTTCTAAAAACTACTCCATGACCTTTTACAGTAATTCCAATTCATGCATTGTTGCATATTTGTAAAGTATATTTATCACCTTAGATGGTAAGGTCATAAATCCACTGTTTATAAGTTTTATTATCCTGGTATTTTTGAGGTTACTATTTTTAGTGATAAGAAAACTTAATATCTTAGGAACTTCAATCCTTGAATAAGTATTTATTGAGCATTTTATGATTATGGGTAGGAGGCACTACTTAGTATAAAATGCTTTGATGTTGCCATTTAGGAATTTTTAAATTTAAGATTAAAAACTTTGTTATAAACAGCAGCAAAGAGAAAAGTCCCTGGCCACAGAGACTAGACTCTGCAAGTGTTAGTGAACTGTGAGTAGACTCCTGGGTCATCTGTGAATGTTGAATGTACCTTGTGTATCGGAACCAGGGGCTTGCCTTCCTGTGTCGTCATTCAGCATGCTCTGGGGCTCAGCCTGTTTGACCTCCTAGTTCCCTGGGAGGGAAAGCAGATCTACTAGACTGAGTGAAGCACCACCATCAAGGAAGTATATTTATAGTGAGAAAATTCTGGTCATGTATTCTAAAACTAACATGTAGATTATATGTTATTTTAGATTTTCCATACAGCTTCTCATTTCCTTTGGGATAATTGGGTTATCTGGAAATGAAAATCATAGTATTTACAGTATAGATAAGAAGAAAGCCTGTGGGATGGGGGTCAGATGATTACGTGGCAGTCTGTGATTATATGCCATGGCTAATTACAGTATACGAATCATGCTGTGCATACAGATTTTCATTTTGTACGTTTGTGTTTCTCATGTATTTTACATTACGTGAGCAAAGAATATAGATGAGACCAGCATTGTTTCCTCAAAAATGTTACCCCAACTTTAATCTGTTTCAGAAGCAAGGGTCCTTAGTACTATGCTGTGTTCTTAATTGAATTAGAAAATAAAGTAACCATCGCTTCTTGTTATTGCAAAAAGTAGTTCATCAGGTTATGAAGAAAGCTGTAAATGAGGAAGCACAGTGTAAATTTTATATCAAAACTTAATTTATCTGTGGGATTTTATGTATTAGGTTTGGGGAGGCACTTGTGCATCCATAGTTATGTTGAAGCATAGCATTAGTATTACTTTATGCTTCACTTTCTTTAATATATTAATCAAGGAATATTTAGTTTGTATTTATACTAATACAGGGTGATGCTTTATGTTACACTGAAGTGGAAAGAACCAAATACAAAATTTTGTATGTAGTAAAGTGCATTTTAATTTTTTTTTAACATTTATTTATTTTTGAGAGAGAGACAGACATGAGCAGGGTAGGGGCAGAGAGAGAGGGAGACACAGAATCTGAAGCAGCTCCAGGCTCTGAGTTGTCAGCACAGAGCCCGATGCGGGGCTCCAACTCCTGAACCATGAGATCGTGACCTGAGCCGAAGTCGGACGCTTAACCAACTGAGCTTCCCAGGGGCCCCTATAAAGTGTGTTTTAAAAACACTTATAAAGAAATTCCTTGAAAGGAAGTGAGCCCCACATAATTGGGTAGATAGAGTGGCATTTGTGGTGAGCGAATTTTTCATTCTATTTTGCTGTGTTTCCAGTTTTTTTAAACAATGAAACCATACTTTATAATGAGGAAAATGCCCATTATTAGAGAAAGTACATAGCAATAACTTTGGTGATCTTTATTTGATAGTGTATATAAATTATTTATGTGTAATCAAAATAAATTTAACAGGTATGATATGCCATAAGTTTTTTGTAAGTGAAGACAAAGGATATCTGTTAATGAGTTTCTGTGTGGTAATGACTGTGTACATACTATTTGCTTTTGGGGTAACTTCCTGTAAAAGGAAAATATAAATGGAATCATGATTGGTTTTTAAGACTGGTAATTTTTATATATTTAGATGACAGTTTTATATTTAGAAAGTTCTTATGGAAATAGAAAATTGTTGAAACCAAGTTAGTTTTGTTTCTTTTTAGAAAATTTTATTTTAAATGCTGACCTTTAAAAAGATGATTTCTCTCTCTCTTCTGACTAGGACATGTATTCTTCTGAGAAACCTTGGACAGCGGATTTTGATTTACTATCTGATTGCGACAGCCTACAGAGATCTTTCCAGTCATGAGTAAGTGTCCTGTGTTTCATTTCAGGGGCCTCAGGAGCATTCACAGTGTACTTAAAATAAAGAAAAAGTTTATTGTTGGCCAAACTGGAATGATGTGGCTTCATCAGAGATCGGATACTCTGATTCAGCTCCGTACCGTGCACCTGTCTGTATTTAAACAAGGAGATACTTTCTGGTGTTTGGTTTATTCTGAGAAGTTAGATATGGTGAGGAAATCTGTGTCATTAGTTTCTTGGCTGATTTATTTCTGTTCTCTAAAATGTTCTGTTGACTGCTCATTGGGAAGTGACTTGTTAAAAACATGAAGAGGGAAGCAGACTCATGAATACAGAGGACAGACTAGTGGTTGCCAGAGGGGAAGTGGGAAAAAGAAAAAAAATATGAAGAGGGAGAATTTAAATTGATTGTAATTAACAGAAGCTTAATTGTGTGAAGTTGGATCATTGGTAACATGGGTTAGTATATAAACAAATAAAAAAAATATCTTTATTAACGTCTCTGATGGAATGAGAACCACATGTATCCTATGGACTTTCCAAATTTGATACAGGTTGTATCCTCTTACATAGTTGGTACTATACATAGTATTTTCTGCCTTCTCTGTCTGCTTCTGACTGTGATTAGGAGAGCTGAGTTTTAGTACTTTGTATTAATGTTTATTTTAGAGAGTGAGGGAAGAATTATGATTTTTATCCTGTCTGCAATCATATAACAATTTTGATGTATTTTTTTAAAAGTATAGATTTTTTTTTTTATTATTATAGGAACTTTGGAATAGAGTGAGCGTTTCCTACTGGAGTATAATGTTAGAGAGTAAACATTTTCACACATAATTCATATTGATTATATTTATCTTAATATGGATACAGTAGTTTTTTTGTTTTTTAATTTAATTTACTTTTTTAAAGATTTTTTTTTAAGTTTGTTTATTTTGAGAGAGAGAGAGAGCATGTGTGTGTGTGTGTGTGTGTGTGTGTGAGAGCAGGGGAGGAGGGGAGAGGGAGAGAGAGAGAATCCCAAGCAGGCTCTGCAGGGCTCCATCCCATGAACCTTGAGATCATGACCTGAGCCACAGTCAAGTTGGACACTTAACTGACTGAGCCACCCAGGCACCCCGGGTAGTTTTTACCATTGATTGAAATAATTAAGCAGTTAAATGAAAACAAGGCTGTTGTTGCTTGTGACTGCTTTCTACTAAGAATAATATCGCAAGAAGTGGGCTTTGATTTTCGAGACTGTTCAATGGGGTACTTTTTCAGTGGCCTCCTTTGAGTAAACCAGCATAGTTGCTAGGTGAGTTCAAATACAGAAGCAGCTTTTGTTATTTTGGCTCCATTCAGATGAAATTTTGTGGGAATGTTTGTCTAATGTAAAGTGCCAACTCTAGTAAAGATGGCTGGATGAGTTTATGAAAACTAAGACATGTCCACCAGCATTGTAACTTAAAAATGCTTACATTTTGGGCAATTTACTTTCTGTTCTACTTTGTAATCTTAGTGTTCTGTTAGCACCGCTGTTACAGAGTTCTTTGAGGACAGGTACCCAGGGTCTTTCATTTTTGAATCGCAGCGTCCAACAGGGTCTTGTATACCTGCTCCCTCTGGAAATTCAGAGCCCTGTGTGGACAAATCAGAGGGGAAGGGTCACTTGTTAGCCAACTAATAATAAATTATCTGAACGACATACAACTTTTTATTTGTGAATTACAGTGGTTGTCTTTGATTTCTAAGGTTTTTAGTTGGTTCTTTTTTTAAATTACAGATTATACTTTATAAAAATGCTTATTTATTTACTTATTAAAATATTTGTTGATTTTCGAGAGGGGGAGGGGCAAAGAGACAGGGAGACACAGAATCCGAAGCAGGCTCCAGGCTCCAAGCTGTGAGCACAGAGCCCGACATGGGGCTCGAACTATGAACTGTGAGATCATGACCTGAGCCCAGGTCAGGTGCTTAACTGACTGAGCCACCTAGGCATCCCAGATTGGTTATTTTTTATGCCCTCTAGTTCTTTTTCTCATTTCTGCTTGTTTCTATTTTAAAAATTTGGTTAATTTATTATTCATATATTTCCTGGTGGATCTTTTATGTGCTTCTTTGATCTTTTTCAGATCACTTGATTATTAATTTTGTCTCCAGTGAATTCATATTGTGGTTATTGCTGCTGTTGGTGTTTTCATCACATTCTGTAGCTTTGCAGGCACGCTCTGGTGGAAATTCTTTCTCTGCCTCCTATGGCTGTCTCCTTTTGTGATTTTTCTTGCTGGGGTAGCCGATTTGCAGTTGTCTCTGCCTGCCTTTGCAGTTCCCAGATCGGAATCAGGTCTTGTGTCAGTGGACCAGGGCACCAGCCTCGTGGTGCTCTTGGTGATATCACAGATTCCGTCACTGAGCCAGCTGGCATTAGGTCAGCAGCTTCCTGAGCTGTAGCTTCGGCAAGTTAGCAAAGGCCTTTTTCAGTCTAATTTTATAATCAAGAAGGATCGCCCCCCTCTCCCGTCCCTCGTTTTAAGCAAGGAGCCGGGCTACTGACCCCGTTTCACATGAACTCTTTTTTACATACAGTTACCCCATGGGATTCATTTCCTGCTGCCCTTTCCTGCTTTGGGGCCCGTAGCCCAGCACACCTCCTGGCTTTAGTTTGGCTTACACTGTGTGCTCCTGTTAGATTTCTTTTTATTATTAATGTTTATTTATTTAGAGAGAGTGCAAACAGGGGTAGGGGCAGAGAGAGAGGGAGAGAGAGGGTTCCAAGCAAGCTCTGGTGCTGTCAGTGCAGAGCCTGATGTGGGGCTCGAACTCACGAACTGCGAGATCATGACCTGAGTGGAAATCAAGAGTCAGTGGCTTAACCGACTGAGCCACCCAAGTGCCCCCGTTAGATTTTTAATCTGGAGATGTTTAACATGGTTTGGGGCGTAGGTATCTCACTTGAGTGATTCGTTCGTGTATTTTGTCTGTAATTTCTCTATGTTTGGTGTTTTGGTGTGAAGACAAGGGAACCACCAAGAATGCACACGCCACTGGAGGTTCAAACCCTGGTGTTACCGTCAAGTCCAAACTCATTATTTCACAGTGAACAAGAAAACCCAGTTTGTGCTTAGTTCCCTGGCTCCTAGTGTCCTCTCTGCCACCCGAGCCCCTGTGCTCCCTGGGTGAGCCCATTATGCTGCTTCCTTGTGGCCGTCTGCTGGCCCCTTCGAGCCCTGTCATACTGTGCTAAGGCACAGCTAGTCACTCTTACTTTCATGGACTCTGTAAGATCCTTGGGGGCAATGATTTTTATTGCTAGTGCTGAGCACTTTTCCTGGCTCCCAACAGATGCTCAATAAATGGTACATGGATCAGGTGTTCCTAAGTAACACCCTTAGTATGTAGTCGCTAGTCCATGTGTAAGTGTTTTTAGTGACATTTAAGCTGATCCTATGTGAAGAGAGATTGAAGGTTGAGTGTGGGGGTGAGTTAGTGTGTATATGTGGAGGGGAAGGGAGCATGGCAAAGGATAGAGCATTCTAAGGACGTCGAGGAGTGTGAGAAAGGCACGAAGGCGTGACTACACGTAGGTGTTAGCACGTAGTTGAGCATTTGGGAGCATAGAGATGGGGAATGGAGACCGTGAGAGAGAAAGCTGGTGGAGACGCAACCAGGGTCGAGGTCACGGGCATTCCAGGAAGTTTGGACTTCATCCTGTAGGGCTTAAGGAGCTGTTAAAGAAGTTCATTTAGGAGAGGGGCGCCTCAGTTGGTTGAGCATCTGACTTCGGCTCAGGGCATGGTCTCACAGTTCCGTAAGTTTGAGCCCCACATCAGGCTCTTCGCTCTCAGTGTGGAGTCTGCTTGGGATCCTCTGTCTCCCTCTCTTCCTGCCTCTCCCCTGTGCTTTCTCTCTCTCAAAAATAAATAAACATTAAAAAAAAAAAGTTCACTTAGGGGAGCAACTGACGTTTTCATTCTGGAAAAATTACTCTGACAAATAGGCTTTTTTGTTAGAAGTAATTTAAAAAAATCGGTTACAGGCGGTGTTTGCATTTTTCTGACTTTTTTTCTTAGTTTTAAGCTCATCCTAGTTTAAGCTCAAAGCTTCCTTTGAAATAGCCTGTGAGTAACATTTCTTATGCTTGCCGGTTTGATGGTCTGTCCTTAAGCAGGCCACTGTAACCATAGGTTGGCGAGTGTTACAGTGTCAATGTTACGATGCAATTGCCAGGGGGTGGTTGCAAGTTTTCAAAAAGGTGGGAACAGAGTGTATCAGAGTTCCTGTTTTTGAAAAAAATAGGGGAGAATCATGGTACAGGTTAAAAAATAGGACAGTGTGTCTAGATAGAATTTCCAAACCTGGGTTTGAGTGAGAATGACAGGTAACTAAAGGTTTTTTCACTATTTCTCCAGCGATTAAAAGAAAGGTGGACACTTGTTATGTGTGGGCGGGTTTCTCCCTGAAGCATTTCCTGACCCTTGCCACGTCATGGACCACACAGGCCGCGGGAGGAGTTGTGCGGCAGGCGTGGTGGACTGTTGGGGGCTTGGCGGTGACCGGCCCTCCCCAGGCTGTTCCTTGTGCCCGGCTGCCGAGCCTCCGCTTTCCCCGCGCTGTCTGGCACACTGGTTGGGGGCCCGGCTGCAGAGCTTAGAGAATTTGTTACGTGTTTGAGATGTGTTTTAGCTTTTAGTCTGGAACTTTGTGTATTCTGTCCAGTTCTGAGGCTAGATGCTTACCTTGTGGAAAATGTATTCTGTGGCGCTGCTGCGATGTGCCTTTCATTGTGGTTGTCAACTTTACCACAATCACAGAAAGCCTTTTTGATTTCTAGTACTGAATTGTGTTTGTTTTTCTGTATTTGCATATTTTGCAATGTTATACATTTATCAAGATTTTTTTTCAAAATTTTTCTTATCATGGTGCCAAAGATGAAATATTTATGTGAAAGTTGTTATATTTAAACTGTAGCTATAGTTTGAAATGGACCTCTTCCGTCTTTAATGGAGATTCTAACGACAGGAG